AGTTCCGAATCACCTGTGGATGAAAGTACTACAGAGGTTTCTTCTAAAACACCAGCTCCGAAGCATCCGCTTCTAGTTCTACTGAGGATGATAGTACGACAGATTCTAGTTCCGAATCACCTGTGGATGAAAGTACTACCGAGGTTTATTCTGAAACACCAGCTGACTCCAGCTCCGAAGCATCCGCTTCTAGTTCAACTGAGGATGATAGTACCATAGCTTCAAGTTCCGAATCACCTGTGGATGAAAGCACTACTGAGGTTTCTTCTGAAACACCAGCTGACTCCAGCTCCGAAGCACCCGCTTCTAGTTCTACTGAGGATGATAGTACGACAGCTTCAAGTTCCGAATCACCTGTGGATGAAAGTACTACCGAGGTTTCTCCTCCAGCACCAGCTGACTCCAGGCCCAAAGGACCCGGTTTTAGGCCTGCTGAAGAGGAAAGCACCAGAAGGTCTTGGTTTTGGTGAATCGCATGGAAGGAAGAGTACTACTGAGTGTATTACGAGGCTCCCGCTTCCAGCGCTCCTAAGTATATAAATAGCAATGCGGGTACTTCAGAGACATCGACTGACTCTATTGAAGTACTAAGAGAATAAAAACCGCACATACGTATATATTTGGTCCTTTTCATAGCTCATATTTAATTATTTTGTAGTATTAGGCTGTTATTAAAGTATCTATATATCTATAAAGGTCTGTTGAGCGTATATGGCTAGTTATTATCCTCCTCAACGTACCTATCATTTCAAATATTAAGAGCAACTACGTTGGGATACCGTTGCATAAGAACTATGGATTTGTTATGGAATCTTAGCAGCCGGCTTCCGATACGAGAGGTGAAGGCAATTGGTTATAAGTGTGGAAGCATTTTGAAATTGTTGAACCCACAATTTCATTAATAGGCTTGCAGCGAAATAATTGTTTATCGAGCGCCCAAGTGCAGAAAACGCCGTACTGGTAGTTTTGTCCACCGCTGCTTGAACCAACCACAAACGACACAAGGTATAGTGAGTCCTCGGATGAACTAGTGATATGCGGCTCTGCACTAAATGTATTCCAAGCAGTGGGAGTAGGTGCCTCGCTCAGGGAAATCAAAAGCAGAATTACCGAAGCTTATCACTAGAAAGCTAGTCAGAGATGCAGCTTTTGTATAGGATAGCCAGGCAGCTTTGGAATACTTATGACCCACTTACTACCAGAGTTCTTTTAGGAATAAGCTAGGAAAATATCTACGAATTCATGGCTGTCCGCATAAGATATTGACCCAAGGGTCTATATGTCGAAAGGATCGACATTATTTTCGGCAGTTTCTACCGCTGATTCACTACTTTTTCTCCAAGTCCAGCCAGGCTCTTGCAAGGGGAAGGCTAAAATAAACCCACTTGGGTAACTATTCCTGCTGAATATTTCAAAGTGCAGCCGCCGCTTTCAAACACGTCGAAACTGTATAGACTTGGGAAACAATTTACAGAGTTCAAGAGCCGGCATATCTATCCAGAACCAAGTTTGTTTTACGAAGAGTAAAATTTTTAAGTTAGGTTAAGTTAGTGTGGCAGTCGGTGCAAGTAACCTACTCACTTAGACCTTGAACATTTATTGTGGTACCACTGCAGAACACGAGAACCTCAGTGATTATTCTTCATAGAACCACTTTGAAGCCCTTATAAAGGGTAGGATTTGCTTTATTCCCACGCCTGATTATTACGTAAGAGAGCTAAAGAAGGGCCTACCTAAAATTCTTGCTCTCCTCTTGGCCAAAGCACAAGAAGTGCTCTACGGTTTCTTCCTCTTCCTCTTCTCTGCAACCTTTACAATATTCGTGCGAGGATATTCCTAGTCTTGATGAGTGCCTGCCAGATAGTCAATGACTGGTTACACAAACCATGACCATCGCAATATCCTCTCTTGAGAGGCTGAGCAACTCTTTCGTCCTTTTCTTATCTATTTGAGGCCATAGTAGCCTGGTTGTTCTACAAGTACCCTCCTCTAGCCATGACCTGTTGGCCTCTTGGATCATATAATTTCTAAGCTCTAATTTGTAGGTTGTCATTGGTATTCCAATTATGCCTCTGTTTTCACATAGGGGGAGATTGGTACCTTTCCTGGTTAACTCATCGGCCTTGCAATTTCTTTTAATATCCCTATGTACCGGAACCCATATGAGGCTGACCTTGAATACGGAGCTAATATCATTTAGTGCTGCGATACATTTATGATTTAATGTCCGCCTGGCTCTGCGAGAAGATGTTAAGCGTAGTTTTCGTTACGGCATGCGTACTAAGGTAAGGCCTTATAAACACTGCAGTGGTGAGAAATTTGAACGGGTCCAGTCCTAGTTCCTTGAATAAAACTCCACAGCCAACCCTATTGTCTGACTTGGATCCATTGGGTAAAAATTTAATTCCTCCTTCTCCATGGTCTTGGCGTTTGCGATTCTCTTCTTGACGGGATGCTCGTCTTAAAGAGCCTTTCGTAGGTTGATTTAGGAGCGTAGTAGTCAAATCTTTGGGCATAATTACCCAGAATGAGGAGTATGAAAGTGTGGCCGTGCCGCCGATCCTTCCATAGCACCATACTGTATAGTCTGAGCGCTGAAGAGGTGGCCACGTATTCTCCTACCAAGTTTATTGCGGGTTTTAATGACCTAACTTGTTCCTCCGTCAGCTGCTTTGCTGCTGGCGGGTGCCCAATCCTAGCCAAAACCGTCCAGTTGTGGTTTTTTTTTTTTGGATTTGAAATTCGAACTCATATTTTGGTCCCACGAGTGTCGGACAATCTGTCCATCCGAGACTGGGACAGTTATTAATCTGGGTCCCCAGCCAGGCTGAACGTCAGCACGGGTCGTCTAACACCTTGTTCTAACCCAGAGCTTTTTCCAAAAGGTTAGCTCTTCCGTTACCTCAAAAGGTCACGAGCAAAAACCATTTCCATATAACTAAGCTATTGAGGGGCACATGGTACCGATTTCCGATCTTCGCATGACATTACCAGTCGGCACCCTCGTGGAAGGTTCAGCCGGATGATTTTCGCCAATCAAATTTCTAATTCAGAAATATTTTCCTAATTTCCGCTTTTAACATTTACAGTTTGTGATCTTCCATATCATGCATTCGCGGCCCTCAATCTTAATTTTTCAATCATCATATCCAAGGGCTCTTCTCATGTCCAATTACATTCTTCTCTACCAGAAATTTCCAATTAAAATAATTACTATTTATTATATAAAAGTAAAATTCAGAAAAACTATTTCATATTGATGGCTGAGTGGAAGATCGATCTATCTCGGTGGCCAGTTCGAAAACGCTCTATCTCAAAAAACTTTTCAAGAACGCCCTATCTCAGCTCCCGATATCAGCATATTTTCAATACATTTTGAAGTGAGATAGGGCGTTTTTGAACCGAATTTTGAGATAGGGTGTTTTTTCAATTAAACTCTGAAATAGGGCGTTCTTGAAAAGTTTTTTTGAGATAGAGCGCTTTCGAACTGGCTGCCGAGATAGGTCGATCTTCCACTCAGCCATCGATATGGTAATGTATGTTATTTTTTTTTTTTAATTGAGATACAAGGCAAAAGCTTGACACTAGCTTCGCAGGGTTCATGCGAAAAAAGTAAATAAATAAAATTAGAGATCTATTCGAGCAGTTTTGTGTGCGCAAGTGTTTTGTTTTTTGTCCTTGCTCCAAATATGAATGCGTATTAGGGTGGTTTAATTTTTGTAGAATGTTTTTTGAAATGAAATTTTTTGGTATCGATTGAGTGAGTTTAAATTTAGTATTGGTGTTAATTTAGTATAGGCGCTAATAGGTAGATAATAAAAGGAGCACAGAGAAATAGAGGTGTGATGTATTCTGAAACGATTTCCCGTCATTCCTTCTCAAATTTGGTTTGAACGAAAATGAAAGGAATATAAGTGCTTTACAAAGCCTGAGGAAAAGATGAATAAAACGAAGCGATATCGATATAAAAAATGATAGCGATAACAATTGTAAAAGCGTTAAATGTGTACAAAAATATCGATGAGGTTAAAAATATTTGTAACAACAAGAAGGAAAAGCGATTTAAGGTAAAAATCCATACCTATGATACTATCGATAACGAGAACAATCTCGATAACAAATTTTTACAAGAATGACATATCGGCCTTAGGATAACATTCAATATAATGAAAACGGTGTTGAAAAATACCGATAACTGCAACATCGATGATGATAATAATCAGGCGAAGAATAGAATGAGATAAGCGTACAGTACATTTTGAAATTTTTATACATCTAACATTTTACTGCCTTCTACTATTTATTTGTTCTCTATTTATCGATTTCCGTATTGTTAGAATTGCATTGCTATGTAATTTCAACAAGTTACTGACCACCCTTATATCATATGCATATTACGTAAATATCTGCCCTTGTTCAAGAAATGCCTAAGTATACAATAATACGGAATGATAGTTGTATATAAGCTTGCACCAGCCATGCAAACTTCATCAGTTGAAATCACTAACATAATCGTGTTAAACGCATTTTACCAAAGAAAACTATTAAATAAAAGAAAGGAAAACTATTAATTAAAAAAATGAAATCCTTCGTAGCAATTTGCCTTTTTGGATTGATGTTCGCCGTATGCCAAGGTAAGTTGAAAGTAAGTAAAAATTCTACAATATAAAAATAACATTTTGCGCTTCACAGCTGAGTTGGGTGGCGAATTCACACGCACTCTTATCTCATCAAATGAAACGGTAGATGTTTATGAACTAACGGATCTAGCCGACGATGCTGATGATGATGTCGAATTGGGAAACCAAAATGATGATCCTGAAGAGGAATGGGGAAACCAAAATTATGATGCTGAGGATGATGCAGAAACACAAAATGATGACGCCGAGGATGATTCGGAAAAGCAATATGATGATACCGAAGATAGTTTGGAAAAACAAAATGATGATCCCGCGCAAAGTGCCGAAAAACAAAATGATGACCCTTCGCAGCAATAATGACCCTTAAGATATATCTTAACCTTGCCTTACCCTGAGTAGAGAATAAAATAAAAAATATATAAATAAAAATTTTATTAAATTAAAAGTAAGTTTTTTCGGCATTTCTTTGGCTACTTTCGCTTTATTAACATACCAGTGACTCGAGAATGAAACAGCTCCACGGACGACTGTATTGATTGTTATCATTCGAAGAAATGCTGCTGTCCTACGCATGGTTATGAGAACGTTCCTTGATAAGGGTTGCATTCTAAACCCTGATGATGCAGAAGTTTTGAAACCTCTTCCGATGAGTGCAAATTTATCTTAAAGAGAGCAATATCGAGATAGACTTTCAGAGATTGAGGGAAAAATGAGTTTTGCCCACTTGCAGCCCGTCGATGCCTCCCAATTATTGCTTAGCCAAGTATTCACCCAGTTTCTGATGGTGGGAGACCTATAACTGGCTGTGGACCGAGAAATGCCGGGTCTGAGCCAACTCTGACCAATTGGTCAGATGTCTCATTACCAGGTGCTTCTGAGTGGCTTGATACCCAGAGTAAAGCAAGTTCGTTATGTTTACCACCATAATTTAGTCGAGACTTGCATTGCCGAACTAGTTTGAAAGTAGTTACAGTGCCTTAAGTGCAACTTGGACACGTAAACTCCTTCATAGATGTCAGAGTCCTTACGAGTCACAAAAAGAGAATCAAAAGAGGAGACATTGAAACAATATGTCGCCAAATACTGGTCCACAAAAAAGATTAAAGCTTCCGAAATATTCTATTTCGGAAAGCCCCTCACCTACCAATCAAAAACTTTAACAGCCTTGCGATATGTGTTTTCGTAAAACTCGGACGTGTTTTATTTTTGGGTGCTCCTGACTTCGCAACTCTTTCTTCGATTTTCCACTTCGTTTCCAACATTCGTAACAGCAATCCCTTGAAGGTATCGCATTGGGTAATTCAGAAAATTTTTTTTTNCTCCTGACTTCGCAACTCTTTCTTCGATTTTCCACTTCGTTTCCAACATTGGTAACAGCAATCCCTTGAAGGTATCGCATTGGGTAATTCAGAAAATTTTTTTTTATTATTTTTTCCTCGGAACCATGTTCGAAAGTTTCGTTTAGACGCCGAAATAAGTGTCAGAAAATATGAGCCCTTAATATTAATATTAAAAATGTCCGCGTCGCACTTTGCGATTTCCCATAAGAATAACAAAGGAACAATAGTTTTTCTTTGTACTTCTGATTTTTATATCTAACGAACGATACGAGTTACTGCAAAGATCTTTCAGAATTTTTGTGGAGAATTGAACGCACTAAAAAAAAAGATCTAGAGTCATTTTTCGATAAGTCAACTCGATCAAAAGTTATTCGGGGTCAAAATCGAAAGAATGGTGAATTCGTGCAAGGGCTTTGCAACACTCCGAGAATACCCCTATAGTATAGACAATAGAAAAATTTTACTGATTCGCTTTGCTTTCAAGTCATCATCAAAGCATTCACTAATCCGTTTAGATCGCAATGCATATACTATACATACATGTACCTCTTTCAATTGTCTACTGTGGTGTACTTTAATGTTACTTTGCTTTCCCAAGATTAGTGCCTAGAAGTATGCAATGTTTATTTTCATTTTAGCGCAATTCTCATGTGCAGTGTATTAGAAGAAAAATCTTACATGCAAAAAAGTTCAGTTAGCGATACATACATATCGCTAACTAATATGTAGTGAAAAGTTCTTAAGTCCATATTTTTTCTTAATTTTACTGAAGAGAATAAAAACCATTCAAGTGCATTTTCTTCCAGCACTTAAGTATTTAGGGAAAATTTTTAGTACAACATTTCTCTCTAAACGAATCGAATTCCGTAACTTTGATGAAAAGTTGTTGTATCCTTTGGGACTTTTCAGATTTTCTGGGACAATTTTGGACTTAGCAAAAGTGCGTATCACCGAATAGAAACAGTTAGAACTAAATAAGCGCACACGACTCGACGGAAGGGCAGGTTGGACGTACACAATACGCTAATGGAAAGCGCAAAAAATCGCAAACCAAATATGTATGGTGACATAAGTTTAAATTTTTTTCCAAACCTTAATAAAGTTATGTTATCATTAATAAATTGAAATAAAAAGATGCTTACTTAAGCATTATTGCGGTCGCTGAATACAAATCTGGTGGGGTATTTCAAAACTACAAAAAGGTGGATCCAAGATGGAGGACGGTTTTTTTTTAGTTCAACATTTTTGCTCGAAACTTGATATTCTTGGGGTTTACGGGGTTGCAGGATTGAAATCTTGTATTTTAAAATTTCCAATTTGTGAATCCAAGATGAAAAACTAGTTTTTTGAAATTCAACAATTTTACTCGAAACTTGAGACTTGGGGCTTTTCGGTGTTGTTGAACCCAAATCTGGTGTCAGATCTTAAAAATTCTAAATAGCGGAAATTCTAAAATCGAACGTATGTATGTACATGGCGTATGAGTAACATTCTCACCTTATCTGAGTAACTCATACGTCAAGAATGATAGAATACAAGATTGCGCCAATCGAGCTGAGAGCAACTGGCCGTGACGTCAATAAATACCAGAATGAGAGAGCAAGACGAACTCGACAAGAAAAAGAGGAAGCATCGACCAAAAGGCAGTGTTGCCAAGTTTTGACTTTGAAAAATCACCAAATTTTTATTGGTGTATTTTATGGACTATGTATGAATACATAATTTTATTGTAAGGATGCCGATTCAAAAATCAATGTTTCTTGCACAACGGTCCATTTCTTCTGGCATGATTGAAGGTGCTGCCACATATTTCTTTGTCACTTATGATTGTCGCTGTGCCATGATTTTGTTTAAATTTTTGTAAAATTGCTTACCACACTTACGATTGCTATACATTTTTCTTAAATTTATTTAAGATTTTCTAATTTGGTGTCTTCAAACTAAAAACAAAAGCACCAAAAACGCACCAAGCACAAAAGTTAAAAATTTTCGCGTTTTGAATACCCACTAAATTTGGTGCGAAAAGCATGAAGTTGGCAACAGTGAATGTAAACAAAAGTATTTTATGACGTCAGCGAATTGGGTGGATGCTGTCAAATCGACGAAGAGAGGGTTAGCGGTCCGCGAATGGCGCGACCTTTATTTTCTGGATCGTGCTCATACGCCGTGTACGTACGTTCTATGAATATATGTAAATGCAATCTCCGCATTGCCATCTTCCTTATTTTCATCGAATCCTCCATCAGCAAATATTGGAACATATCGGAGCAAGGTTTGATTTTACGTTGGAATTCATCAACCGATCATCATCTTTTTTATTAAGTATCGCCACTTAACTTAGCTACTCAAATATTAATCTAAAATATATTGTACATTCATTGTCCTAAAATATAAAGTTATTAAAAATTGTTTGTATATTTGCTAAAACTCTTATAATAAATCCTTTGAAATTCCATGCAACATTCATACGTTGTTGTTTTTTAAAATGATTCACACCTAATAATAATTAAAATCTTAATTTGTAAATTGTATTAATTGACATTTTTTTTTAATTTCAAAATTCTGCAAGTTTTTTATTTTTAGATTTTTTTATAATATATTACCTTATTAAATAACCCTATTATTTTTTATATATTAACTTTACACAGAGACCACAACCATTTTTGTAACTATAATAGGGTTTTGGGATATTGAAAAAAATAGACTTGCAAAATCTGGCAGCCCTCCTAAAAAATATTTTCGGCAGTCAACTTTCTTAAACCTTTTAAGTTTGATACCCATATTGCAATATTTAACTTATCTTATTTAATAAATTAAATTAAAATTTTCAAACATGTGGCAACCTTCACAAAAATATTTTCAGCTGTAAGCCTTCTTAAACCTCTTTTTTTGATAGCCATATTGCAATATTTACTTTATCTTTTGAATTTACTTAAACTGCATATTTCAAACAGGTGGCAACTCTCTATTTTTTTTTGCCTATATTTTAAGTTTCATGTCTAGCAATACATAGATGAAAACTGTATTCAATTCCAAGGTAACAATAATTCGAATTTATTATAATAGTTTAAATAAAAACAAGTAAAGAAGTATAAGTTCGGGCGCAACCGAATTTTATATACCCGGCGTAGGTATCAACTATCGTCATTCCAGCTTTCTTTAAACTACCTTCGCATGATAAGTAGGGGTGTTTTTACCGATTTTAACATTTTCGCGTATCCGCTGAGTTAGACTTATAGGTACAAAAGTCTCCAAAATTTCAGAAAAGTCCAAAAAACTACCGAAAAAATCGTTCTTAAAGTCCCCAAAGTTCTGCAAATACCGAAAAACTTCAACTTACGTTAAACACTCACAAAATTTCAGCAAGGTTTAAAATTTTTTAAAAAAGTACTGAATTTTTTTGGAAAAAAGTCCCAAAGATCTTGAAAATACCATAAGACTTCAATTAACGTTAAGAAATTGAGAAAAGTTTTAAAATATTCCGAAGAATATATCATTAAGTCCTAAAATTTCATTAAACTTAAAACAAAAAAACAAGGAAAAAATGTATCTAAGAGTCTCCAGAATTCTGAAAATACCGAAAGATTAAAAAAAAATTTCTGAAAAATTTAGAGAAGAGTTCAAGAATTCCTAATAGCTCGAAAAAATAGAAAAGTGCTAAAAATTTGCCGAAAATTAGATCAAAAATTTCAGAGAATTCCAAATTTATAAAAAGTCCCTTAAATTTTAGAAAAATCCAGTGTACGTTATATACTTACATATGTGACATACATATATATTTAATTGCTTATAACATTTTTCTAAAGTTGTACTAAATATCTACTTTCATGCAGTAAATAAGACGGAGTCAATTCAATTGTAGGTGGTCATCAACTGCGACCATGGTAGCACGCCGTATCATTTGTTGAAGTTTATGACCTCCTGGCCGGCGACCACCATGGGGACCTTCATATATGTCTATATCTTCAGGTTCTCGACTTCCTATTGGAGAGATGTTTTCAGTTTTATAATTAAAAT